CCACAATGTCCCTTGCTCCAAAGGCCACCAAAGTGTCCCCTGTCCCAAGGGACACCAGAGTGTCCTGTGTCCTGGTGACACCACAATGTCCCTTGCTCCAAAGGCCACCAAAGTGTCCCCTGTCCCAAGGGACACCAGAGTGTCCTGTGTCCTGGTGACACCACAATGTCCCTTGCTCCAAAGGCCACCAAAGTGTCCCCTGTCCCAAAGGCCACCAGAGTTTCCCCTGTCCCTGGGGGCCACCAGAACATCCCATGTCCCAGTCAATGAAGGTGTCCCATGTCCCTGAGGGACACCAGGATGTCCCATGTCCCTGATGACACCAGACTATCCCACATCCTTGAGAAACCCCAAAGTGTCCCACCTCCCTGAGGAACCCCAGAGTGTCCCACGTCCCTGGGGACCCCCAGGGTGTCCCATCTCTCTGAGGAACCCCAAAGTGTCCCACATCCCCGAGGAACCCCAGAGTGTCCCACATCCCCGAGGAACCCCAGAGTGTCCCACATCCCTGAGGAACCCCAAAGTGTCCCACGTCCTTGAGGAACCCCAGAGTGTCCCACGTTCCTGAGGAACCCCAGAGTGTCCCACCTCCCTGATGACACCAGACTATCCCATGTCCCTGAGGAACCCCAAAGTGTCCCACGTCCCTGGGGACCCCCAGAGTGTCCCACACCCCTGAGGAACCCCAGTGTGTCCCAGATCCCTGAGGAACCCCAAAGTGTCCCACATCCCTGAGGAACCCCAAAGTTTCCCACGTCCCTGAGGAACCCCAGAGTGTCCCATGTCCCTGAGGAACCCCAAACTGTCCCACATCCCTGAGGAACCCCAAACTGTCCCACATCCCTGAGGAACCCCAAAATGTCCCACGTCCCCGAGGGCCCCCGGGGTGTCCCCCCACGCCGGGTGCCAGCGGCTGTGCCGGTGCCGCAGCATCCGAGTACCAGGACAAGGCGCTGCGGAAGTGCTGCGAGGACGGGATGCGGGAGATCCCGATGGATCACAGCTGCGAGCAGAGGAGCTCCTACATCCAGGAGGGCGAGTCCTGCGTCCACGCCTTCCTCGACTGCTGCAAGTACATCCAGGGCATCCGCCAGGAGAAGCGACGCCAGAGCAAGATCCAGCTGGCACGAAGCAAGTGATGGGACGGGATGGGGGGGAAAGGGGGGACCGAGGGAGACGTGGGAGGTCCTGCAGGGAAGGGGGGGAAGGTTGAGAGTCTCTTGGGTGTTCCTTTGGGGAAGGTTGGGAGTTCCTTGGGTGTTCCCTGGGGTGAAGGTTGGGTGTTCCCTGGGGTGAAGGTTGGGTGTTCCTTGGGTGAAGATTTGGGAGTTCCTTAGGTGTTCCTTGGGTGAAGATTTGGGAGTCTTTTGGGTGTTCTCTGGTTGAAGGTTGGGTGTTCCTTGGGTGAAGGTTGGGTGTTCCTTGGGTGTTCTTTGGGTGTTCCTTGGGGTGAAGGTTGGGTANCTCTCGCCCAACAAAGGTATGGCACCCAGGGGGAGGGTGGCCTCGGGCACCAAAGGAACCCACCTGACCCTTGGGAGTGGCCCCCTGAAGCCTGGCGGTTCTCCTCGGGGCTTTGAGGGATCCCCTAAACCTTGGGAGGACTCCTTGGGGCTTGAGGGATCCCCTGGGGAGGGGAGGAGGAGAGGGGGAGGACTCCAGGAGATTCAAGGGATCTCCTAAACCTTGGGAGGTCTCAGTGGGTCTTGAGGGATCTCCTAAGCCGTGGGAGGACTCCTTGGGACTGGTGGGATCCTAAACCTTGGGAGAACTCTTTGGGGTTCAAGGGATCTCCTAAACCTTGGGAGAAGTCCTTGGGACTTGAGGGATCTTCTAAGCCTTGGGAAGACTCCACGGGTCTTAAAGAATCTCATCAACCTTGGGAGGACTCCTTGGGCCTTGAGGGATCTCCTAAACCTTGGGAGAACTCCTTGGGGCTCGAGGGGTCTTCTAAACATTGGGAGAACTCCCTGGGACTTGAGAGATCTCCTAAGCCTTGGGAGGACTCCTTGGGACTGGTGGGATGCTCTAAGCATTGGGGGCACTCCTTGGGACTTGAGGGATCCCCTAAACCTTGGGAGAACTCCATGGGTTTTGAGGGATCTCCTAAACCATGGGAGGACTCCTTGGGGTTCAAGGGATCTTCTAAACCTTGGGAAGACTCCTTGGGACTTGAGGAATCTCCTAAACCTTGGGCAGAATCCCTGGGACTTGAGGGATCCCCTAAACCTCGGGAGGACTTCTTGGGTTTTGAGGGATCTCCTAAACCTTGGGAGAACTCCTTGGGACTGGTGGGGTCTCCCAAACCTTGGGAGCACTCCTTGGGACTCGAGGGATCCCCTAAACCCTGAGAGCACTCCCTGGGACTGATGGGATCCCCTAAACCCTGAGAGCACTCCCTGGGACTGATGGGATCCCCTAAACCCCCGGGAGAACTCCGAGAGATCCAAGGCATCCCCTAAACCCCGGTGGTGACTCTTGGGGTTCTGAGGGCTCTCTGAAGGCCTCGGGGCCATCCCAGAAACCCCCNTCCCTGGGGTGAAGGTTGAGTGTTCCTTGGGTGAAGATTTGGGAGTTCCTTAGGTGTTCCTTGGGTGAAGATTTGGGAGTCTTTTGGGTGTTCTCTGGTTGAAGGTTGGGTGTTCCTTGGGTGAAGGTTGGGTGTTCCTTGGGTGTTCCTCGGGTGAAGGTTGGGAGTCTCTTGGATGTTCCTTGGGTGAAGATTTGGGAGTTCCTTGGGTGTTCCTTGGGTGTTCTTTGGGTGTTCCTTGGGTGAAGGTTGGGTGAATTTTGGGTGAATGTTGGGTGAACATTGGATGAACTTGTGATCAAAGTTGGATGAATGTTGAGTTACGTTTGAATGAGTGTTGGGTGAATGTTGGTGAATTTTGGCATGAATTCTGGATGAATTCTGGATGAATTCTGGATGAATTCTGGATGAATTTTGGATGAATTCTGGATGAATTTTGGATGAATTTTGGGTGAATGTTGGGTGAATTCTGGGTGACTTTTGGGTGACTCTGGGGCGAAGGTTGGGTGAAGGTTGGGTGGGCAGCCCCGGGGGGTGCCTGGCCGGTGCTGGGGTGATACCGGCTCCGCTCAGGGGTGGCCATGAGGCCACGGACGAGAGGGATGCCCCCACCCCCAGGCGAGGAGGACGAGGTGTTCCTGAGCGACGAGGCCATCACCTCGAGGAGCCTCTTCCCGGAGAGTTGGCTGTGGCAGGTGGAGCAGCTGACGGAGGCCCCCAACGAGCTGGGGTGAGCCCTGCCCCTGTCCCCCCACCCCCTGACCCCTGGGGGTCACCTCCCCCTCCCTGAGCCTCCCAAATCCACAC